GTTTTTGTTTTTTATCAAAAGTAATAAGTTTATATTCTCTTTTAATATAAATAAATCAATTAGTTTATTATACATTAACTCAATAAATTATACTAATTATAGAATTATATAATATCAATGAATTTTTAAATACATAAATTCTGTATAAATACAATTTAGACAAGTAGTTCAAATTTCCCAGGGGTATATTTTATAGAATCATATAGTACCTATGTATAATGTGTTACAGTTTACTTGGTTTCATACCACGGTATGCATATTTATTATTATAAAATATGTGTATAGAACACAGTATTTATTTTTAATAGATGATATATGGACAGAAGACATGCCAATTGAAAACACGGTAAACATATTAATTATTAGTCATTACTTTTATAGATGTTTAATCACAAGTCGTTGGTATACAAAATCTTCTAGTTATAGAAGGAAGCTAAAATTGTAGTATAACAATACCATAGATAGATCTAAAAAGACTAAGGAGATTATAAATGAAAAAAAAAAATTATTGAATCACCCATAGATACTGTAACTATTGATTCGTGTTATTTTTTTTTTTATTATTATAAAAAGATACCCGAAAATTTGCTTTTTAAAACGGTCTTTTAATAGTTATTAAGATAATAAAAGAAATATTACAAAAAATTCAACACGTCAAAATTGTAACAACTTACCCCGCTTTCTCATATATCATGCACGTATATATGTGTTTTAAAGCCGTCCAAATGGTATATATTTGATAATAATAAATAATAATTTAAAAAAAAAATTTAAAACGTGTGGTAATGAAAGGGTGGACAATTTCTTTCTGGTTTTTGGCTGTAAACCGTTTAATCCGACACCGAATATAATAGCGCGTATGTTTTTTTCCAAACAGAATATCATCATGCAGTATAAATAATTTCTTTGGCGTAAATTCGTATAAGTATGATTTATATAATGTTTAAAAATTGTTCTATAAAATTGCTACGATCCAGGCAAAACTAAATACGTTGCAATCGTAATAGTAATAACTATACGCGTATAAACTCATGTAGTATAACGTTTATGTATTATGTTTTCAAATTGGGTTACACATGCGGCGGATTACTATAATTTATTATTCTTGGTTCCCCGGCGGCGGCGACGGTGGCGACGACTACGACAACCGTCTCGGGTTGGCTCGGCTCGACCGGATATGATTCCGTTCATGCGGAAACAGACCGCGTAGCGTTAATTTGACTATACGCCGAGGGAGTGTGGAACGGAATGGTAGCTAAACTGATAATCGCATTGCAAAACCATTGGAAATTAAACTTACTTGACGTGTATTCATAGCTGTAGCATTAGTGTACTATATGTGCTGACTGAGCTGACCAAAATAACAAACGCCCGTTTATGTCAAATTATAATATTATTTGTATTGAACCGAGCGATTCACTTTTTTCTTGACCAAAAATATCACCTCAACTCAACGCAATCGTTTTAACCCATTGGCTCACGGAACGGATAATAATAATCAACGATAATATATTATAATAAAAACTACAGATCGTGAATTTTGTAATTGAAGACTTCATTAATAAACTGCTTCTTTTGGCGATTCGTTCAATATTGCGGTCCGTTACCAAATCCGAATATTAACGAAATTTGTTCAACTAGAAAATTATTAAACTCGAAGATTATACAACTATTCAACTGCCAACGATCAAATGAGTTTGAAATATAGTCTGTAACATTATTCGATTCAAAGAATGAAAAGAAAGTTATTGTCATCATCATAATCATTGGGAATACAAATTCCCTTTAGCTTTCTTCGCTATATTACTACATCGTCAAAACTGCATTGGAATACTCAGTCTTGAACTACTGCTTTCAAATCTTGCATTTCTAGGATTTTAAAGTCTACTTCTACATTTAACCACATTTTGCTAACGCTAACACTAGAACTGTTCTAATAGTAACATATGCGCTTCCTCCGTAAGAAAAAAAAAACTTCTACGTATTGTGGTTTTATTGTAGACATAGATAATACTGATTAAAATCATACGAGAAAGTGTACGAGTTATGTAAAAAACTAAACATTAAAGCATATACCAGGATAAAACTCATAGATAGATAACGGAATGTAAAAACTATCGATAACTGATTAATTAAAGGGAAAAGACCTAAAGACTACCTCAGCCAAAAGTATATGGATACTCTGAAGACCGATCTTGAAAAATCTGATTAAGGAATGTGGATAGAAGTGAGTGAGAATCCTACCAATATCATTTTTAATATGAACGTTTATTTGCATACATGGCTGTATGTTTGTAACCACTTTTCGTCCAAACTACTAAACGAACTAGACTACAAATAAAAATATAAGCTACTCCCCCTCCTGGTTTCAATTCTCAAAGGCAGGATTATACAAGGTTATTAGTATTCTGAAGACGAAAATCGAATTATTTTTGTTGGTTTATGAGCTTCCTTGGTGATACGGGTGAAATTTATAAAAGGCGGACATACTTTACAAGTGGGTGCAGCCGCTGTTGTAGGTGAAATATTTGGAAGGTAGTAGAGGGGAAATTTAATGCATATCTGTAAGCAAAGATAAACCATTGCTAACGAAAAAACCATTCTGAGTGGAGTTCAGTTAATAGTTAATTGCTTTGTCAATAACATGGTATATACCATATTATGGTAAAATAATTATATAGGCGTTATATATTTTGTTGAATAATAAGAGTATTTGTTTAATATTATACCTAGTCTCCGGGTTTTCCCGGTTTGCTTATGTTTTTTCCGGTTCTACCAATTTACTAGGAAGATCGAAAAATTACCTCATTAAAGTACTTCTCCAGTAAGATTTTTGGATCTTTGAAATTTCGGATATTTTTAACCAGTTTTTTTTTTCGATTCAAAAATTATGGGGGCAACATATCTTTGTTGTTTTATGGATTGAATAAATGAATATATTATATTATTATGATGTATAGCTATTATGAATATAGCTTATTATGAATGTTGCTAGAAAATGACACTACGATAAAATAAATAAAATTGTTTTTTATTTACCGCAAACGGCCGCCGGTGTAAACACGTGGCAACAACGCGTTCAACATAATATACGTTGTTGTATTGTTGAAAAAAATAGAATTTCGAGTAAAAACTATGCTAATACTTTTGCATATTACTCAGGTTGTAATCATCCGATTAACTTGAAATTCACAAAAGTATTATTTACTTGATACACTGATCAATCCGTGTAAATTTTAGAACAATTGGTCCACGTGTTTAGTGGATACAAAGAGGTCGGAAATTTTATCGTAAAATTACACAGATTGAATAGGAGTTGGCCGTCTCGTGTTTTAGTTTTTTTTTTGTTTCTATTTAGCTCTGCGCCGCAACCACGGCGCTGGATATATTTATATACATATACCAATATACATTTATGTGATAAATATGTACACGAAAAAGCCGTAACAGCGCAAATTAGCGGATAGAAAAAACCAATATTTTTCTCGTTCCGCTCTCGGCCTCTGTAAAATACCAATATAAGTTTTAAATAAAAATACCGTTATTGTACATTTCCATCCATAAATTAAAGATAATTACAATATCATATTCGAAAACTTCGAACTTTTTTTCTCCAGACAAATTTATAATTCTACCTGGTTTGATAAAATATAAGAAGAGAAAGAAGAATAATATACATATACGTACATAATTTATATGTATATATTTGTAATATCATCATTTGGACTTATTACACTTTTCTGCTCCTTCCGTATACTGGGTCAAATCAGTACTGCAATCAAAAAATCTATGCATGCAAAACAAAGCCATTAAAGTTTATATGATTCGAATGAAAATCCTTCGGCGGAAAAACGACGTTGCGAGCCGAGGAAAGACACCGCGGAGGCTGAGCAAAAGTGGTTTTGGACTACGGAACAAAATGAATAATTAATAAGAGCGTGCCAAGAAGAGTGAGACTATAAAATTCGTGCATTATTTAGACACTCCTTTTAACCCACCGATCTTTTCGGGTATATTACAATGCGAGAGCTCTTATTAATTAACAGACCATACGGACAAATCGCGTTCCCACTATTCTTATAAAAGCTCCACATCATATTATACGTGTATGGGTTAAAAAAATAATATTTTAAAAAGAAAATTGATATCTATGTTCTTAAATTTTGTGAAAGTTAGTAACTATTGACAGTTCATTGTCAGAAATAAAGTTAAGGACTAGATTTTAAAGCAATTTTACTAGAATGAACCAAAAACAAATGCCCTCTGTTCGGTTAGGTTAAAGGAACAGAAAATAAAAGATCCTTTAATACTAATTAAAGTATTCAAAATAAACGTTAAATATGTTGCATTTTTCAGAAATATGGTTTTCAGAAATTTTCACAGATTATTATTATGTGCTTGAAAATAAACTAACATAATACCAGTTGTTTTTATTATTATTTTAGGTCTAGTTTCATATTATATTATTGTATACCACATAAAAAAAAAAAAAAAAAGTTCACAATATTAAAATTATATTTTACAATGTTCATTTTCATTTGAAAATCTTAAGTTTGATATAAGTTTTATGTTAAATCGCGGTGTCGGTGAAAATTATGCAAAAATAATCACTTCCAGTTCGGCATTATAACTCGGGGAAAAGAAAGAAAAAATTGTATTAAACCTCTTGGAAAATAACTATTTTCTCATAATTATGATTTTCATCATATACTATAACTATTCCGATTACTTTTCTTTGTCATTATATTATCTACAAATTTTTTTTTTAAATTTTAGATCTAATTATGATTATACGTTACAAGAAATGCATTGCTATCGAAATCTTTGTTTACATCTAGATTAAAATAATATCGTAAACCTAAAATTTTTTATTATCAATTATAACTATACATATTTCTCAAATATTTCAAAATGTACAATTAAATGTTTCTATTTGATGTTTTTGTACAATGTATTATTTATGATGTTTGCTTACTGATAATAAGTACGTAATAATAAGTAAGTAATAATTATGTTTATAGTACAATTGTGTCAAGTGAAAACCGAAGAAACGGCACCATCATTTTCCCCCAGATGTTGGGAAAGTTACCTCTGTGAAGCATTTCCTGCACGTCTAAGACGGGATTAATAATAATTATTCTGAAGTAGTTGTTAAGAGATTAAAATATATTGAAATACGAGTACGAAATTCAAGTGCGTCGTTTAATTCGATACTATTAAAAAGTACAAACTTTCTGTGCTGAAACATTAAATGCATAGACTTATATTGCCCTAGTTATATAAAAGTCACACGAAAATAAAATGAAATTTGTCACTGCAAACAAATCCATTTTAAAAATTGTGGAATATTATACAGTTCAACTTTTCTCTATTTGACGAGTATAAGACGTATTGATTCAAATTTGAACATGATATTCCCAGTTGAGCAAAAATCATCCTGATGTCATTTGTTTATGGGGTTAGTTTTCCATTGATTGTTCAGTTATTTATTTTTTTTTGTCTGAAATCAGACAAACAAACTCGAGAAATACGACCCCTCTTCAAATTACCTACTATTCACATGTGTTCGATCGCCCACTTATATAAAGCAGTAGCCGAATAAAAGGCATTGAATATATTATTATACTGTCCCAATTGCAGTTTTGATAAAAAAAAAAAAAAAAATAAAACCTATCCACGCGTAAAGTGACTATTATATTATAATATAAGTCTTTCGTTTAAATATTGAATCGATTTATCCATATACAATATTGTGTTTTATACAAAGAGATATATCTGTATCTTTTGTTTTATCTAGATAAACGATTAACAAGTTATCTAAGCCGTTATCGGATATAAATAATTGAATCGTTAAAATAAATTTATTTTAGATCATTTTAAACCGTAATTTAAATATTTATTAAAATGACGGATAAAATATTCAATTTAATTATGTGATAGTTTTATGGTAGTCATTAATAAAATGATCTTTTTTTTTTTTGGTCCGGGTAATTACTCTAATATCATTTATTTTCATCTAGATAATGCCCGATTGCCTTTACTGATTGTATCCCAAAACACTTGTATGTACTTATATTACGTTTCTATAGTTTATCGTCATTACCAGATCTCGGAAGTCATAAGAGTTGCATATTGTTCTGTATACTCTTAATTTATAGCAGACTGAGCTAGAAGTCTGCTCTATACAATAATGAGTTTAAAACAAGTCAGACATACTTCGCACGTGAATGAGCCTCTGTTGTGGATGAGAAGTTGGGAAGGTAAAAGTGAAATTTTTTGTATATCTGTATGTAACGATTAATCATTGCTAACGGAATGCGATTATGACCGGAGTTCGGCTAACGATGTTGCTTTGTCAACAATAATTACAAATGCATTATATATTTTCTTTAATCATATTTGTTTAATATTGTATTTATTTTACTTTTTTTCGGTTTTTACCGTGTTTACCTATTTACTGGGAAAGCTCTTGGCAAAATCAAAAAATGACATCCTCAATATACCGCCCCTGGAAAATTCTCAGAGTTATAATTCTCGATACGTCGATGGGATTTCTAGTAGAATTATTGTATGCAGTATATATATATAAAAAAAATAAACATCTTTGTAAAATCAATCCATTCATTTTATACTCAGAATCTAAAATCGAACATTTCAAATGTGTAATTTTGCATAATTCATCAATCTTGATTGATTTTCATACACATACTTTTATCTATATGTTGTATTATTTATAATAAAATAAAATACAATTTAATGTATTTATTGTCATCGTGCATAGGTATTTAATCTCTATTCCGGTCGACGTTTTTTTATTGTACTTGATGTATTATTGTGCACACGATAAATATACACGAGGGTCCTATTAAAAATTAATAATCATAATAGTATTAAAGTCTATAATTTGCTTTGCATATTTACATTCATATATTTTGTAACTTACCTCCTATAATTTCCGATCCATAGCCATTACATTACTATCCACACGAATAAATAAATATAAATCTTGATAAATAATTCAGTATCTTTCATCGTTGTATCTAGATAGTATGATAACCATATTATTATCGTTTTCAGATATTTTACAATGTATCATCCTATTTCGTCCCTTTTCGTTTTGTTTGCCAATGATTGACAATTCGCGCTACACCCAACCCGATCCTGAGGAACATGTTTTTGGTATTGTTTTGTCCGTAGAAACGGAACGCTGTTGACTTGAGAACGAACGAACTAGGAAACGGGACATTTGGATACCATAATATTTTATTACGGCCGTTATACTATTCAGAACGGAAAAAATGCTGTGGAATATTGTAACGGGTCCTCTCAAAGACTTTTTGGGTTAACGGACCCAGGAATGTTTAACTCACGTATGTGCCGCAGACGTGCTACAATATAACCACTTGAAGTTACATGTGTATGAATGGTAAAAACCCGATAGTACCAGTCGATTTTTAGCTCAATATTATTAAAAAAAAAAAATAACGATTACTGTTATTGTTATTTTTTACGTTTCTGTCGTGAAAAAAAAGTTCTTCCATGGGAAATTGTGATGGTAGTAAATATTTAGTGTGTGATAACTAAAATATGTGTCTTCTAGAAAAGAATCGAAAATTTCAAATAACCACAACTAAATCAAAAATTGCCAAACTATTTTATACATTTAACAATACTTATAAAGAGCTATGAAAAATATTCAGAGAAAATCTCAGATTTCTGGGATTTTATTAACCGAATAATAAAATGTAGTATTATTTTAACAAAACTAAAAATAACAAAATCGGTATAGCATAAATATTCTCGTATTTCCACGTTTCTTACAGAATTTTTACTATTATTAAATAAACTGCTACTAAAATCAATAAATGACTTCCTTAGTGTACCAGAAAGACAAAATTTAATTCGAAAACCTCTTTTGAAGTAGATGATTAGAATAAAAATTTTCGGTAGTATGATTGTTTTTTCATTTTTAAAAATATAACGCAGTTATATAATATTATAAACATCTACTCACACTTCTTTGTTCACGATGTTCGAGAAGTTTCGCAATATTTTTATCATTTTTACATCAATCATCACCGTCATATCATAAATCTGTAAGAGTTTTTAGCCTCCACCGTAAGTGGCTCCAATTTTATCGGTCGTGGATCATGTCTCGCCACATTCCATCCATCTGATGTTTCTTCGGCATTCTTCTTTGTTTTCTTCCTGCGGAATATTGATATTTAATTACAAATCTTGTTACTTGAATTTAATTTTCAGTAATTTTTTCAATTGTAGTGGTTGGTAACACATCTCCGAATTGTGGAATGAACACATGGACAATAAAAACATGTTTTCAGAATAAAATAATTGGTTATAATTATAAGAATTCTTTTTGTATATGATACGTACATAAAAGATGAATATAAATGTATAGAAAATATTGTTCATACTGTTTTACGATTACTAATAAATTTAACGGAGTCAATCACTACACAAAGACTCTCAATATTACGTCGCGTAAAAGTAAAAATTGTCAAGTTTTTAATTCTCGTTTAATATGTTTTAATCATTTCCAAAAAAAAGAATATAAAATATATTATAAGGAGATAGACGACGAGCGTTAGGCCCCATCTTGTCGTTTCGTTTCGTTGAACCAGTGCTCACTGCACTATAGTTTCTATGACGAATCGCCGCATTCAAAAATCGACCGCGACGAGTGATTTTTATTTTCATATTTTAAGTGTACTTACAAAAAAAATATTTCTCCAGAGGTTAGAAGTAATACTATTAAAAAGTTAAAAATATTATATTAGAAAGCTAGTACTAGCATTATCTTGATTAAATCATCAAGATAACGATATACTTATCTTTTTCTAAATAAAACTAAAATATCTTATCTTTATCTGCACGGTTACATTTTTCCATATTAAAAAAATCAACTTATTGGGTTTTATCTAGATAAATATTTTTGAATTTTATTAATAAATGTATTCATCAGAAATAAAGAATGAAATATTAATATTGGTATATGGTTAATAAATTATGTTTTATATCAATCACATATCTGTCTTAAGCATACGAGTTGCGGTCATTTTTAAAACAACATAATATAACAGTTGCGATAACGCCGTTTATAATTTATATCAGAATTGTGGTCACGGTTAAATATCCGAACTGTTTAGTAAATATATTTTAAAATATAATATACACAGCGTACTTATCTAGAAACACCAGGAACACCACTATACTTATGTCCAACAGAATTTTAATTACAATATTTATTATGGTTACATTTCAAATACCTACTATATGTTTGTAGCATAATTCTCATAATAATTTATGATATTATTCGACACGAGTCTCATCAGTTGATACAAAAATTAAATCAACTTCATTCACCATACGTACTCAATAAATAAAAGAATAGGCAGTCCAAGCCTGTTATATTTGTAATATAGGTATATTAGAAGTATATTATAGTACTAAAAAAAGTAATGGAAATTTAATATAACGATAAAAAATAATTATGTTTGTCCCTATTTAGTATTTAGGCCAATAAATGAGTGACTGCAATGAGCATTCTAACCAAAAATCTGGTAACCAACAGTAGTGAGTAACCTTTTTGTTGGGTGATCGAAACGTGTACGTATTTTTGGTTTTGACCATTACTAGTGAACACCGATTTTTGGAATGTAGAATACTAGTACACATTTAGCTTTTAATAATTAAAAGCCAAATACAATTATTGTATCATAAAAAAAATAATTTATTTTTTTTTTAAAATTAGAAACGAATGATTGACTATTTTACCATCGATTTTACATTTATTATCAATATTAAAAAGAAAAACAAACCGTGCTCTGGACAAAAACAAGTCTGTCTTTGCGCATGTATTGAGTTCAAGATTATGGGTTCGGCGTTGAGAATTCCGGAAATCGTGCATACGGGAACTGGTATTTTATTATTCTGTGTAAATCGATACACGCGTATGTAAACAAACAAATATGTATTCAAATTTAAAATTATGGCCAAAGGCCGTTAAAATGTCAACCATAATTTTAAATTATCAATATTGAAAACTATAAAGAATTAAAAAATAATACTGTAACACACGTTGACTGTCTAAAATAAAATAAAACAGACCAATAACTAAGGTACCGCTGGGCTAGTCCAAAATTAACATGGGAATATTATTTACAGAGTAATTTGTTGAATGTATAAACAAACTATGTATGCACACAATAGTACTCTATGAAGTAATCAACAACAATTTACGATTTTCCATTAATCAAATATTATTGTTGACAT